ACTGCAACCTCCACCTCCCGGGTTCTAGTGATTTTTCTGCCTCAGCCTCCCGAGTAGCTGGGATTACAGGTGCCCACCACCACACCCGGCTAATTTTTTTGTATTTTTAGTAGAGATGGGGTTTCCTGACCTCGTGATCCACCCACCTCGATCTCCCAAAGTGCTGGGATTATAGGCATGAACCACCGTGACCAGCCAATCTTCTGCTTTTTTGATAATAGCCATTCTAATAGGTGTGAGGTTATAGCTCAGTATAGTTTTGATTTGTATGTCTCAAGTAATTAGTGATGCTGAACACCTTTTTTTATACCTTTTGTCCATCTGTATGTCTTCTTTTGATAAATGTCTATTCAAGTCCTTGGTTCATTTTTAAAATCAAGTTATTTGCTTTTCTTCACTTGAGTTGTAGGAGTCTACCAACCATCTAATCTCCTTCCATATATCTAACAGTGCTTAAGAATACTGGTATGTGTTATACATTAGGTTTTAGTGTTTGCTAAATCCATAGCCATAAAGCCACACATTGTTATCAATGCTTAGGTTAGTACATTTTGTATTTTGTGATCCCAGTACTCTGGTTTCCACTGACTGCTGGTGCTGACCTAAGGGCAATCATGTATTGGACTGTGTGATATGATATAAATTCTGGCTACCTGGAATCCCTATACAAAATATAATCAGATTATCTCTTAAGAAATCTGAATATAAAACATTAAAAAGGTAAGTAAAGTAGAAGGAAGAGGAGCAGAGTTTAGCCAAACTCCCATTTAGTCATGTTTTAAAACAAGCAGCTCTAATGCTCTCTTTCTGCATCTGAAAGGTCAGTTCCTAGAACAACTCAGTGGTTTCAAACACGTTCCAGTTTTCCATGAAGCCTGGCTGTGTAGTTTCTGGGACTGTTTCCTTTTTCCCATTATTCCCTTGGTTCCTTCTTAATAAACCTACTTAACTAAGATAACTTGCTCCTATTTATATTCATTACAATCTGAAGTGCTAACAGGTGATAATTACTGGAGGAGTACTATAACATACTACCAGCTTTTAACCTCTGTAATTTGGATCAGACTGCTCTTCATACTGTTTTGAAAGGCATTTTTCAGTTCTTACTACTACAAAATAAGTTTTGCCAAGTGGATCCCTAAAATCATAACGAATCATTTAAAAATTCCTTGACACAGTAAAATTTTAAGTGGAGAAATCACAAAATGATTACAGGAAGCATTGGGGCAACAAACAGAATACTGTGGAAGTTGCTTCTCAAGAGATAAGAACCCAGGGTTCTAATTTCTAATCTAATTCTTGTTATATGACCTTTGAGAAATCTGGGCCTAAGTGATTTGAACCTAAGGTCACCTCCTTAAAGTCAGAAAACCAATGTATTGTCTGCCTGAAGACAGAAACAGGTGATGGGGATATTTTCTATTTCAAAAGACAAAGATTCTCTCATTTGATATACAAGATTTCAATATAACCCCACCCTTTGTTTCCTGTTACAAGGAAGTGACATGGACTAGGCACATACTCCAAAATGTTTGGAATCAGAAACAGCAGTCCTGTAACCTAACCACCACTAGAACACACTCTGATTTCACAAAATCCTGGCCATCAAATCTTTAAATATAAGTAAAAAGTATAGGCAGCTGTAGGAACTAAATGTTGTCATTAATTGAGTGTACTGAAAATAGTTTTATTCTTTTTAATTTGTATAAAGGTTAAAGGGTTTTCATTTTTAAACAATATTTATCACAATACAGTAAAATTGCACTGCAAAACAAAAGACTGCTGAAGAGTATTTCAAATCCTTTAGGTTATGACTTTGTTTATTTGCTTTTTATCTAAAAAGAGATTTCTGTAGTGTTACCTGCACATTAGATGATAGTACTAAAATTTTATTTAGCAGCAATTAACTACTATTTCCCACTTGCTGTTTTTATTCCATTTTAAACTATTTCTCTTAAATCTCACTAAATTTATTTAAAAGCTGAAATAGATACATAACACCAACATGATTTTGAGAAAAATAATCTTCTATCAATATCATGAGAAGCATTTTTCACCATTCCAGTTCAAGAATAAAAATAAATGTCTCCACAAAATCATGCTGCTTCCAATTATTTGTTAAGATAAGTACATACCTCTGCTTCCATGTGATAAGCATTTTCCACTCTCCTAAAATCCTTTGTCACAGTGGTATTTTCTGCCTGAAACAGAAAAAGTCCAAGAGTATGATTACTAAACATTTGACGCAATTACACTAAAACATAAATTAGAAACCTACACTAATTAAAATCAGAAAAACATAAAGTATGCAAAAAGAACTCTGCCTGATGTTTTAAAACTTTCCTAAAAGTGACATAAAATGAATTCAGAAATCTATAAATGTTTGCTTAAAATTTCATGTCACTCCTTTTATAATTTATATTAGCTTGTAATGAAAGTATGAAGTTAGGGTGATATATATATGAGCAATTGTTTGCACATAAAGCATACTTAATGTTGAGTGTCAGCATTTTAAAAAATATTTAATTTACAAATATTTTAATACAAAATTACCAAATATGTATCATGTGCAACTCTGGGCAAGTTACTCAATATTCAATTTTTTGAGCCTTAGTTTCCATATTTATAAAATCAGGTTAATACCATGTACATCACATAGCATCGTTTTGCAGACTTAATGAGAAGTTATATATCAAGTAGTTGGCATAGAGAAAGCACTCACCAAAAGTTGAGACTATACCACTATGATATAAATATTTATTGAAACATCTAACCTGAGCCAGTTTGGTTTTAAAAAAGTAGTATTAATACTTACATATTCTCAGGGTAAATACAAGGCATATAATTCTGACAAAAAAGTTGAATTTCTTATTTGCTTTCCAAAAGGGTTTTTAAATTCAGTGACTAAAATCTTCAGCTACTTTCATTCTTTGGGGACAAGCAAAACTTGTATTTTATGTAATTTTTTTGTACCTTTCAAAATATATGTTAAATCAATATATGATTATGCCAAGCAATTTAATTATGTTATTTGAAGAAGACATGGTTGCATCTAAATTTTAAGATATAAACTATTTACAAGCAGTTTATGTTATCCAGAAAAATTCTTAAAAGTTTTAACCTAAGTTAAAAGCTTTTGACTCAAGTTCCAAATATCACTCTGATGTTGGTCAGTCCCATGAAAATATTAGTGCAACATTTTTATTATGAAAGTAATATCTACTCATTGTGGAAAATTTAGAATACAGGTTAAGTACAAAACAGTACAGTAGTTCTCCCTTGTCTACAGGGGATAACTTCCAAGAGATACCTGGAACTTGATACCATTTTTCAGTAATTTAGGACACTCTCTGCCCCCATCATCTTAAGCAGTTATGTCACTCATTTGTAAGAACTGGGTTCATTTGTCAAGAGAATACATTTTATCCTGGGATTGATCCTGTGATAGGTTCTTTGATGACTTTTTCCCCCAGTTTACATACATCAAGCTTCACTATTTGTGATTTACAGCTCTGTGAGGTTTGACAAATGCATAAAGTCATGTACGTACCACTCCAGTACCATAAAGAATAGTTCTTTCACCTTAAAAATCCAGCAGATACCTGAAACCACAAATAGTATCCAACCTTATGTATAATATTTTTTTTCTGCTCTGATAACCTAGACAGCTACAAGTGACTAATGAGTAGGTAGCATATACAGTATGGATACACTGAACAAGGTATGATTCACATCCCCAGGTGGGACAGAGCAGGACACAGAGATTTCATCACTCTACTCAGAATGGTGTACAGTTTTAAACTTATGGATTATTTCTGGAATTTTACATTTAATATTTTAGGACCAAGACTGACTGCAAGAATTAGGGGTCTGTACTATACATATTGCTTGTAATCATTTTTTCGCTTGATTAACATGAAACTTTTTGTCATTTAATATTTTATGACATGTAAACATACGTCATAAAACGTGTCTCATTTTTCACTTTTCTGCAACTTCACTTGATGAACTTCTGATTGAAAAATTATGAGAAATAATTTTATGAAAGGTAACCAGAAAGCAAAGTATTTTTTATTGCTATCTTTGTTTTTAATAGTGTTTTTTAAATAAAAATACATGCTAATCAAAGAAAATCTAATACTAGCAAAAATAACCAAAAAGTAGTAGCATTCTCAAATCCCATTACTGTTAATATTTTAGTAAACATTTTAATAAACCATCAATGCATATAAATGTATCTAGATCTATATACAGACTTTTTCATAAATAAAATTATATTGTACATTTTGTTTTTAACTATTGATTGACAGGGTCTTGCTTTGCTGCCCAGGCTGCAGAGTAGTGGTACAAGCATGCCTCACTGTAATCTTGAATCCCTGAGCTCAAGTGATCTTCCTGCCTCAGCCTCCTGAGTAGCTAGGAGGACGCCCGAATTTTCTAAAAATTTTTTTGTAGAGCTAGGATCTTGCTATGTTGATAGGGTGGTCTCAAATTCCTGGCCTCAAATGATCCTCCCACCTTAGCCTCTCAAAGTGTCGGGATTACAGGCATGAGCCACCACACTTGGCCTGAACTTTTTAAAATAAACTTTTAATTTTGGAATAATTTAAAATTTATGGAGAAGTTACCAAGATAGTACAGAGTTCCCATCTACCTCAATTTCAGACTTCTCTGATGTTAATGCTATAGTATATCTGTGTAAACTAAAAGCCAACATTAGCAGATTACCATTAACTAAACTCCAAACTTTATTTGGATTTCACCAGTTTTTCTATTAAATGTGCTTTTTACTACTACAGGATCGAATCCATGATACTGTATTGCATTAACTCATCAAGTCTCCTTAGTCTCCTCTGGTCTCTTGACAGTTTCTCAGTCTTCCCTTGCTTTTCATGACTTTGAAAGTTTTTGTCATGTATCTTGCAGAATGTCCCTCATTTTGATGTTTTCTCATGATTAGACTAGCGTTATAAATTTTAGGAAAGAATACTGTAGAGGTGAAATGCCTTTTTAATCACAACACATGTGGCAGTACATGGTATCCACATGACACTACTCAAGATACTAATACAGGTCACTTGGGTAAAGTAGTGTTTGCCAGTTTCTTCCACTGTAAAGTTACTATTTTCCCCTTTCCATACTTTATTAATTGGAAGCATGTCACTAAGTGTAGCCGACACTCACTCAATAAATACTACTTTGTTTATTTTGTTGTTCAATTGTTCTAGCTTTGGCCATTGGCATTTCTTTCAGCTTGGCTCCTTTATCTGTTTGAAATACCCCTTTCCTTTACTTGTTGAGCACTTTCTTACTTTCTGTTACAATATATTACAGGCTTATGTAGTTTCCCTGTCCCAGTCCTAGAATAAGCCATTTCTCCAAGAAGCATAGTACCTTTTCTTTGAGATTTGTATGTAGAACCAAGATCTGAATGCTGAGACTGCTCACTGCTATTGGGGTGTCATTCCTTCCAGGCTCTCTCAGTGGACAGAGCTAGGGTATATATATACACACATAGACACACACACATACATACATACATATATATATATATATATGCACACACATAAAATTTTGTTTTTCCATCTGTACAATATACAAAGCTAAACATGCGTTCACACTGATGTTTTCAATTCTAATCCTGAATCACAGAATTCATTTTAACCTTCCATTTTTATCTGTAACTTCCCTCTCTTAGAGTGAGAAACCTGGCTCCCACCATCCGCTATCCACTTATTTGTTTAATCTCAGTATACATGTAAAGCAGTTTCAGACTTGTTAACAAATACCCCTTTGGAAAACATATTTACCAACTAGAGCATACAGTTTTTGTATCTTTATTCTTCATCCTTATAATTTCCAGTCAAAACACCGTTTTCCAGTAATTTAGGACACTCCCTGCCCCCATCACCTTAAGCAGTTATGTCACTCATTTGTTAAGAACTGGGTTCATTTGTCAAGAGAATACATTTTATCGTGGGATTGATCCTGTGATAGGCTCTTTGATGCCTTTTTCCCCCAGTTTACATAAATCAAGCTTCACTATTTGTGATTTACAGCTCTGTGAGGTTTGACAAATGCATAAAGTCATGTATGTACCACTCCAGTACGATTAAGAATAGTTCTTTCGCCTTAAAAATTTCTCCGCGCATCTCTTTTAGTCAACCACTTCGCCCTCCAACAGATTGTTAACCACGAATCTGTTTTCGGTCCCCATATTATTGCTCTTCTCCAGGAGATCATGTGAATAGAATCATAAAATTCAAAGCTTTTGGTTCTGGCTTCTTTCACTGACTAATATGCAGCTAAGATTCACTCACATTGTTTTGTGAATCAATTCTCATTCCTTTTTATTGCTGAATAATATTCTTTTGCTTGGATGTACCAGAGTTTTTAAAATCCATTCCACTGCTGAAAGACATCTTGGCTGCTTCCAGTTTTAGAAGTTATGAATAAAGCTGCCATAAACATTTGTGTACAGATTCTTCTATGTACTTAAGTTTTCAATTCACTTTGGCAAATTATCCTAGAATGCTGACTTCTACGGTAAGTCTAATTTAACTGTATAAGAAACTGTAAGACTACCTTCCAAAGTGGCCATATAATTTTGCAATCTCACCAGCAATGAATGAGAATTCCTGTTGCTCTGCATCCTTCCCAGCATTTGGCATCAGTGTAACCATTCTAATAGGTACACAGTAGTATTTCATTGTGGTTTATTTTCCATTTCCCTAATGATAAGTAATGTTGAGTATCTTTTCATGTGGCTACTTGCCATCTGCATAAGTTCCTTGGTGAAGTGTCTGTTAAGATCTTTTGTGCATTTTTATTGAGCTGTTTGTTACTGCTGAATTGAGTTGTACATATGTTCTTGATAGAAGTCTTTTATCAGCTATGTAATTTACAAATGTCTTCTCCCAGTCTATAGACTGATTTTTCATTTTCTTAACAGATACAAGTCCTTTATCAGCTATGTAATTTACAAATATTTTCTCCCAGTCTGTAGACTGACTTTTCATTTTCTTAACAATGTTTTTCACAAAGTGAGTTTTTAATTGTGATAAAATACAATTTATCTTTTTTCTTTGATTCATGGACTGCGCTTTTTGGTAATACAGGATGAGCATCCTAAATGTGAAAATCCAAAATTCAAAAATCTCCAAAATTCAAAACTTTTTTTTAGCAACAACATGATGCTCAA